TACGAATCGTACTATACGATTGTTGAAGTACACTTTCGACTCGCGAAAGTATTAGAATAATATGTTTTGCGACGAGATTTTTGTCATCAAAATCATCATTAGATTAATTAATTATTAAACAGATAGTTTAAAGACTATCTTTAGGCTGTCACGATTTTCATGATATATGTTCAGCAACACATGGCTAAAGAAATGAAACTAAATATCTTATCGATATTTTTAAAATACCCTTTGACTAAAAAAAAAAAAAAAAAAAAAAAAAAAACGATTCGGAGAAACTTGATTATTCTATGCGAAGTGCAAGATTCTAAATTCTAGTATGGGACTCAGGCAGCTCAAATAATCTCATTTTACTCGTAGAAAATGGCAAAGGAAATTACGCGCGCGTCGCAAATCCGAGTTAAAATCAATTTGGTTTGACCAACAGCGAAGGAAGGGATACAGAGAAGAAAGGGTATTCATTCATTAGGTCAAGAGACATCAAGCCTTCTCCGCCGTATACTGGCCGTAGGTCACCGTATCTAAGCTTCCATTATCGTGGAAACGAAGACTTTATTAACATCGTTCGTCCATGAGGACCATGACGAGGATGTTTCGTGACGAAATGTTCGTGTCTGTATACCGTGTATCGGGGGGCGAGAGTATATTTGTGAGGGAGCAGTGACGGTCGCGGGCATGTTATTCGAGGAGGACATCTCGAGTTTCAGTGGAGAACAAACGGCACGTCGTGTACACGTCTACCGACGACTCTATAGAGATTGCGAGACCGTTCTTGAGACTTAATGAATGAGACTTCGCGAGAAAGGAAGGACGGATAGGAGGTGAAAGCCGAACGAACAGAGAGAGAGAGAGAGAGAGAGAGAGAGAGAGAGAAGACTGAGAAAGAGAAATGAGGGAGTATAAAGGGCGAGGGAGTACACAGGGAGCGAGAAAGAAGAGTCGAAGGGTTAGTTTGGCTAGATGGTTAAGTCTAGGTCGTTACTCGATTTCTCTTTCTTCCCGTCTCGCAACGAAACGGTACGAAACTTTTGCCACGGATGGATTCGATGACACCGCAAAGAGGCGTACCTAACTGGCTGTGCATTCTAAGCTTGGAAAAAAGAGGGAGAAAAATAGAGGAGTGGTGAGAAAGGGAGGAGGGAGGAGGGAAGGAAAAAAGTCAGTGGCGAGGAATGAACGAGAAGATGGAGAAACTGGTTTCACCGTCGACCTCGATTTTTCCTTGCTAAGGACGCCTCTCCACTCAGTCAGCTTCGCCCATAAAGTCGTGACGAGCTTCTCGCTTGGATTAGCCTCGACACCCTTTTCTCTCCTGCCTGCCGGTGCGCTGCTCTGCAATTTGTATCGCGGAGACGAAGGAGCCCACGGAACCAGTGGAGAGCCACGAGAAGAAGGAGAGAACGCAGCGAGAGAGAAGAGGACACACACAGTCGGGGGTTTTAATCTGCATTGGATTATACCCTCAAAGGACGATGCATTTCATTATGTCGAAGCCACGCGGGAAAGTGGGCGCTTGTTTGCGCACGCCAGCGTACCCTGAACTCCAGCAGAACTATATGCGAGGAATAAAGAACGTTTTACCGGGCCCGCGAGGAAAATCCCTTTGCGTTATCACTTTAGACACCCGTCTATTTACCATAGAGAATGAAAGTAGTGTCGAAACGCTTATAATCTTTTCCATAGCCTCGCGCGTCGCCAAGTCGTAAATCATGGGAATTCATTTCGGCGTTTTCACGCGTTCGCGTCTTTCTCCTCTTTTTTTCTTTCTTTTCCTTTTTCTTCTTTTGGCCGGTGAACGCCGAGCGCTTGCCGCTTCCGACCCTGATTTTCGTTTGATCGAATAAAAAATTGGAGGGCAAATCGTGCAGATTACGAATAACGTTCGAGATTTTTTTCTGTATTTTTTGATAAATGAAGAATTACGCGACTGTTCCACAGTGATCTTCTAAAGAAGAAATATTTTATTCAACTTTACGAATTAATACACGTAGGTGTTGTATAGTTGTTTAGAAATTTTCTTTTTAAAAGTTTGGACAAGCTCTTGCTTGCTTCTACCGAAACTTTGGCGTGTTATTGTAAAGAGATTTTACACGCTCGAGAAACTTACATACACGTACACACACGTTTCGGAAACAATAGTGATAAAAGTAATGCAATAAAAATCTGCAATTTGTATGTATATATCTCTCTAAAAAGAAAGTTTCTTAGCCAAAACAGTTTTTTGTCCGAATTTAGTGATCTTCCTCTTTTTTCGTAAAAATCACATTCTTCTAGTTTAACCAAAATGTAATTTGTCCCGAGTGTTCTGTAACGAAACTTCAGTGTAGCAGTTGGAAATTTTTCTATACGACCAATATTTTTGTATTTTAATTAATGATAAATATTTTTAAAAAATTGTCACGCTAGTTTCTGTTTCTCTTATTCATTTATTTGTTTTTTCTTTTTCTTTTTTACTATGCATTTGAATTCCACAAAGAAAGAGACAACAATCTGGCGAAATAAATTTTCGAACAAAGAACGGTGGAATTTGATATATGACTTATGAAGAGTGTAGGGGAAAAAAGAGTAGATAAGAAAACTTCCAACCATATTTGTTACGTGATAAAATCTGTAATATATAGAGAATCTAGTAATACAATAATAGGGGACATATGAACGTGTAAAATAAAAATTCAGACAATAGCTCGTAATTGCGTAGCAAATGTTTAATTCTAGAAGAAACAATTTCTAATCAAAAGTATATTTCTACTCTTACGTGACAGTTTAATTCAATTTAAACTTTCTGTGATTTGAGATTACGTGAAATTAACAGTGAATCAAATTTGGCAATAGCATCTAAAGTAGGCACGTTATTTAAGTAATCAACACAAAGAAACGCTTACTTGGCTAAACGCTTCGCAGTGTTGCGATTACCAGTCTTGTTACTGTGCTTGCAAGTGATAAACACGTGCTTACAATCCAATTGGACGAAACAGAATTGGATCATTATCGTGCTTGGATGGTTGCCTACGTTTCGTTAAGTCTGGTACACATGAACGACACACGTTGTTTTCCCTCAGCTCAGTCATTGCGCCGCCGTAATTTACCACTATATACATTTATATAGACATTATTTAACTGTACATGGTTGATTTTTGACGGCAATTTAACACCTAAATAATGGACGACAGTTGAAACTGTGATTTGTAGATTTCGTACTCTCGTAAATTATAAATAGAGACACACGTACGTTCTTTTTTCTTTTTTCCATTAACTTGTACTACTACAAGATTAAAAAAAAAAAAATAATAATTTCTTATGATTGGTAACGTTTCTTTCCACAGTTGAATTTTACAAAATTTAGCAGCAGAAATTATAGTCGTAGCAGAAGTTGAATTTTGCGTTATCCTAACGAGCACCGGTCAGATGTGAAAAGTTCTAAAGTTTGTACAGTTAAATATTCTATGTAAAAAGCCGGATCAAACGATAGGATGAATAGCCTTTCAACCTTTGCAGACGTAGCCACAGTTAAACAGTCGTCTATCGTAAATTCAGGGAACCAGAAAACGAAACCTACTGTTTTGCCTACCCAATGTAATTGCTCACTTTGACGTCATTTGTGTGTCTAGGAATCTATTCAAGAGCTCGAATCGGTCACGTAGAATGTAAGTTCTAAAAGGATGAACGGGGTTAGGTCCTCTTTGAAATTCAATTAGAATAGATTTTCAAGGAAATTGTGCTACGTAGCTGCTGCGAACGAACTTTGACGGCACTTTGTAAGTAGATGTACAATTGAAATTCACTTGATTTGAAAAAAGAGAGACTCTTTTGTCACTATGACTCTAGTTTCTTCCATTGTCCTCTAATTACTCTAATTACTCCAATGGTTGCTTGAAAATATAGAATTAGAAATGTAAAAAGATCTATAATTTAGTTTTCTGATGCATTGAAATATTAAATTATTACTAAAATAGCTACTAATGATGAAACATGACAGTAGTAACCCGAATTAATTATAAAAACTCCAACATTCTATATTTCCATAGCTTTAGTCGCTTGCTGAATTTTAATTGAACAAGATTTATTATTTCTACGCGTTATAACGCGAAAGAAAAATCGTTATTTCTTAATATTTCTCACGACAAAAAGAAAGAGAATTTAGGATAATATGACTTTCTATTACATGTCTGTAGGATATTGCTCTTTCGGGACGCAAGTATCTAGTTCATAAGAACAATATAATTGTTCGAATACGATTGCATACTTCATTGAATTGTTGATACAACGGGAATGAATTTGCACGATGTGGTTCAATTCAGACGATTAGAAATAAAAATTGCTTCTACCGAATATGTTTCGCGTATCATTAATACTCTTTATATTACGCGTCTCGAAATTAATTTCAAATTAAGTCCACTGTTTATAAACTTCTGACATTCATTACTCAGAATTAATATTCAACTCACCATAAATATTTCCGTAATTTCATTTATTAGAAAAGATCGGCATAAGTAAGGATAAATTGCAATACACACGGTGTATCATCTATATATAATTTTAAGTAATTTTGGCATTGATTAATTTTGAAAGTATTTTTAAGATATAACAATTTCAACCACCCTCCCTGGCAACAAACAAACTTCTCAGAAAAGAGCTGAAGGCCACGTGTGTTTTCATTACGAAGACAGCGTTCGCACAGTCCGACCGCGAGTTTCATCCGGATAAAGGATCCCTTATTGCTCGACTTATTAGAAAAATTTAGGACGTTTCTTCTCAGGCCCTGTGAATTCTGTGCTCTGCAGAAGACGCGACAAAGGAGTTTCACCTGCGTATAAGCAAAAGAAAGGAAACACTCGGGGCTTCGTTCGAGGTCTGGGAAGTGGCGAGTGCGCGGACATCGGTCGCCACAGCGACCCGGTACCTTCAGGTGGCAACTTACGATCCAATAAAGTTTTCAACCTCCACCCTCCCCCTCTCTCTCTCTCTTCTCGGTCGCCTCTTGTGCAGCTGCGACCACGATCTTTCTTCCCGCGGGGTGTGCATTTGATTGGTAGAAGTTACCTGAGTTTTTAAGCCAATTAAATTGTACGGACGATACAGCACTTCGTGGCGAACTTCGTCGTAACGTATTGCGAGACCAGCGCCTCAGTTACAAAAGCTCACACTCTTCATCCACGGCGGTGGTGGTAGTTACTAATGTCCAAATTCGTTTCACCCTTCTGCGAACCGCGTGACAACCGTAATCTCGTTCACGGATTCATCTTGTCTCGCTTGATTTGCATTTCGCGCGACACGCTGGCAGACTGTTTTCATACAATCCTTTCGTTCGTACTTTTGTCAGATTTTTCGTTTGCTTCGCCGCACAATCCGAGTCCCAACAAAGAATGGAATATATTTTCTAATTTATTAAATAGAATATTTTCTAATTTATTAAATAGAAGGATCTGTCCTCTGAAGAACTTGACAGATGAATTAGCATCTAAATTTTATAGGCGAATTTATTCTTCAAACAGATATAATGTACATGCACAAGTTTCGAGACTGTGAGCCAGGCCATCTTCTCTATTAGTGATAGTACGAAAATCGTACTCGAAGAACTTTTTCTTAAAAACGTCATCGTCGCAGAATGTTTTTCTCAATTTTTAAAAATATATCCAGATGTGTTTATGATATGACCTTCAATTGACCTTGGCCTTAAAAATTTTTAAATTAATGTGAAACTTATGTTGAGCGAGATTCTAATAAACTTCTCAATTCGTCTTTGTGTATTGTGTACATTTGTTTCAAAATTGAAACGTTTATCTACGATAAATCACTGATTGTGAATGCTAAAAATAAAAAGTGTTCTAAGATTTCAAATCTCATATAATAAATTTCAAATTTTTAGCCGTTCACTTCTTGTCTTAAAGTTCAAAGTATTAAGCTCAACGTTTCAGTTCAATAGACTATCGATAATTCGACGTTTTATACTTCTTTCGCAAATAAAAGTCTCGTGTGTTACATTTATCTCGCAAAAGATTGCGAAAAATTAAATTTCATTCTCATCTCCGGGGAATAAAATACTAGTATACAAGGAATTTCTCACTTTGAAATATTTTACACAGTCTCTTAACGCGTGTGATGTTTTGTTGTCTGCAGAAAATACGACGAACGCTTCAACTTGCAAAATCATAAGGCCATAAATCCAAGCGGCAAATCGTCGAAAATATTCGCAACTGCAAGTCGATGCTTTAGTCAACAAGCGTGTCAAGCGTAATCCACTTAACGCGGGGCTTAAAAAAAAAAGTTATGAATCGCCGATGATTTGCACTTTGATATCGAACAATGTCGTACGCGCACCAGCTATGAATAATATAGTGGAAATAAATCATGCTGGAATAAGACAGCCTATCTAAACGCGGTGTCGTATCGAGGAAAGCATGTATCACGGCGAAACACGAAGATTGGGGAAACACATCTCAATGAACAATGCTAGAAATTATTACATCGGAGGCGCGCACGAATTGGAATATCGAACGGGAGGGAATGTGCTACATATGTGGCATCGATAAATAAGTAACGTAGTAAATGGAACAGTGAATAAGTAAAAATTTCATGTTTTCGAGATGGCAGAATTTTAGTTTCTCAAAGAAAGATAGAGAGAGAGAGAGAGAGAGAGAGA